CATTTGACATATACTCTTCCTAACTTATTGTTTGAGTTATAACATACAGAAAAACCAATAATTAATAATAACAAATTTTATAATTTCTCAAACACTTAATAAGAAACTTGTCTAAACACATTATAAGCAATTATATTGTTTTTTTTTATTCGGAAAAAAAGGTAATTCGCCAAACGCATTACGCTCATAATTTAAGTCTAAGGGGCCTATATTTGACTTATGTTGCTCAAATTAAATTAAATTTATTCTAAAATATTTAGCGAAGAATAAATAATGTTTTGCAATAGCAAAATAAATATAAATTTTTAAAATTTTCGTGCGAACATTCGTTAAAATTGACTAAAAAAAGTACAAATCATAAAAAATTGAAACTATATTAGAGAAAAATATTCGAGTTTCAAGGAAAACATATATATTGGGCCTAATGTACCCCAATATCAAATGGAAAATTTAAATTTATGTTTATTTAATTATTTATATATTATCATTTATTAAACATACATACCACGTATTGTTAAGATAGAACCCGAATATATTGTAGACCTCAAATACAGGTTTGCGCATGCCTATATACATATGTATATATACTTTCAAACGATCAATTTCGTTTTCGTGCAGAATATCGTTTAGATTTGCTATTTAAAATATTGTATGCATTTTTTGGATAAGCCGTTAGTACTCGGGATAGTTATAATATAATTGAATACCAAATCAGTGCACGACGGTTATTAATCGGACTTCGCTTTGCCGAACAACCAAAAGTAATCGCGATGGTTGTAAATTTAATCGAAATCAATTACATTGATTAATTATCAAATGATTATTTATTAAATATTACGCTGAAACAAAAATGTAATATTACGATTACAACGGTTGGGTAATGCTGGTTAATTTGGTTAGCCTTTAATATTATCATTATGATAGAATAATTAAATTTACGAGTGACGGATGAATAATTTGCATAATTCATAATTTTCTAAACTGTTGAAATCCGTGTATTTGGACCAATAAGGCGAATGATAGGAATTTCTAAAATAGCATACGTACAAAAATGATTGAGAAATACTCTTATGAAAAAAACCAAAAACTTTAGAAGCAATAGATATTTAATAGATATATTATTTTTAACTAAATTATAAGTTAAACTCGACAGGAATTTTGATTTTTGATATTATCATAAATAATATAAATATAATAATAATTTAAAAACTAAATAAGTTCTAAAATTACCGTTTTGATATACTTTTCTTAATTTTTCGAACAATTACATTTATTACACATTTAACAATTTTATTGAATAATATTAATTATTTTTCTATACTTAATCTAATTTATTTGAATCAATGTATTACTTATAATTTAGAAGTGTAGAATATAAAAATGCAGTAATACTGTGTATATTTATCATTTTTTATGTATGCAATCAAATTTGTCCACTACTGAATAATAATAATAATAGTCATCAACATTGATTCAAAATAAAGTATTAATATCTTTTATAATGATTTTTTTATTTTTTATTTCTCAGAAACAAGAATACTGGAATAATTAACTATAATTATTTTAAATATTATTTAAAATATATACATTTTACTCATACGCTAATTATTGTAATCAATAATAATAACTAAGCATTAAATACAAAATTGTGTATGAAAGTCCTATGCGAATTTTACAAAATAATATTTAAATTAGTATTTTGAACAAATACCACTTGGACACGTTTATAGTAAAAATTCATTATTTTAAATATTTAAAATGTGTACCATCAAGATGTTCAAATAATCATACTTAATAGTAGTTCATTTCAAACGAACCATGTTTTATGCTAAAAACTTTACAAACTTATGGAAATCTGTTCGACATTTTTAGAAGTAACTCTAACAAAGTTTCAATAAACTCTTACGAAATTGAGTATTAAAATTAAGTATTCTTATTTTCTCAAAAAAAAAAAAAATCAGATAATAACTGATAAATTTAACATTTTGATTTTGATTTAGCCGATTTTCTCAGTTTTATGACATTTAGATATAAGAAATATGTTTATTTATTGACTATATTTTCAAGACCATGTTGAATATTTTAGAAACATTCCTTTAGTGATTGATTTTTCTAATACGGGTTTTAATTTAAAATAAATAATAGTGTAATAGTAATTGTCATCAGTAATTTTGATATTAACCGATAGCAATATTTGTGAATATTAAATATATTTAATATATATTTAATATTGATGAACATATTGTCTCATACCGTCTCACATTTATGAACTACGAGAGGAATTATTTTCCGGTAAAAAGCTTCCTATGATATATACAAGATCCATGATTTAGAATTGTATGAACACTGTTTATACAAATCGCGTATTTTACCTAATGATTTGATTATTTGAAATTCTCAAGTAATTGAAATGCGAAAATATAATTTGTATTATTAATAAAAATGCCTTTTTCAATAAACACACTGTGATTTATCAAATAGATTGATCGAACATACACACAACCATTTATTAATACGAATTGTTTGAATGTACTTTTAAGAAAAATTAAAAACCAATTACAGTGCATTTACCATCTGTATCTGAATTCGTGATACAGGAACTGTAATAAATATTAATATTAGAATGGTGTATATAATTCAGCACAGTTGCAGAATGAAAACAAAATTAAAGATGCAAAGCGAGTTCTATAAAGCTCATAATAAAAGAGTAAAATGTATTTGATCTTGGTACAATATTATTTTTATGGAATGCCCGTTTGTTTAAAAAATGTTTTTGTCAAGGAAAAAAAAATACCAACTGTGACGAGCTAATTATTGTTTTTGAAGAATAAAGTTTTGTAAAGTATTTTGTCTTAGAACATTTAAAGTAAGTTCTGTCACCAAAAAACTGACACCCGACTAACAAAAAATAAAAATCAAATAAACGGTGAGAAAATTTTTTTTATAACATTTCACCTTTTTTCTTTTTTTTTTCCTCTTATTTTAACTTATACTCATTTATTCTGAAATATGACTTGAACTTTTAAAAACCGTATATTACCGGGTCCAATACTTGCAAAACTAGGTTCTTGATTTTTTTCCGATGAAAAACCCGTCGTTCACTGCCCTGTTCAGGGGCACATCTTATAAAACACACCGGGAATAAAATAATTCAGAACAGTTCTATGGTATTTTATTCGAACGCGTACAAAGCCGATTTGTGTTTATCAAACGCATTTATTTCACGAATAAAACATCGCTGTACGTTTTGTTTGAGCGTCACACTGGAACCAAAGTATATTATTATGAACTCGGATAAATCTCAACGGTGTAGATGTTATACGTTCGGTCAGTGGCGGATCAAAAATTATTTTTTTTTTTTTTGGGCGGGAGGTTTGAAAAATATTTTCCCTCTAGATATTTTTTATAATATTGCAGTCGGTGATTATTAATGAATTAAGATAATAGTAAGTAATATAATACATTAATTTAAATCTAAGACTACTAATTTATTGTATGAATAAAAATACAAATTATATACTTTTCCTCATACTTAAAAAAAAAATCTTTTTCTTAATTCATAAAATTATTGGTTTTTAATTTATTTATGTTATACATAGGTAGTTTAACCCCCCACCCCCCCCCCCCGTGGATCCGACAATGCATTCTGTACATACATGCATGATTCAGTTCACATCAGTTTGTACAGGCAGCACTCGTGACGGCATCGAACAGCTAACCGGTCAAGGAATTCAACGTTTCCGTCGCGATCCGAAAAAAAATAATATAAATACCTGCTAATTAGCTAATTAGCTATGTGTTATGTAACTATTCGTGAATATCCAAGACTTTCATTGAACAATATTTCAACAAATCCGTTTTTTTTCTCCCAAAAGCCACTTGCTTTTGCAACTAGACTTTTCGTTTTATCCGTCCTACCATGCACGAATCTATCATGCAATCGAGTAGATGTCAATGAAAATTTAATGGACAGTGATAACATTACAGTGCAAATTTTATCACTTTTATACATCATAGGGCGATGTGACAATATCAATATTATACTTCTAATCATTGCTGTTGAGAAAAACTTTGACTGAACATGTGACTGCGTAACGGGTATATATACCATGGTTTTTGTAGTAAAAAAAGAAAGAAAAAAAAAAGAAAAATTTGAATTGAAAATCCTACAAAACATTTCCTCCCTATGTGAATACACAACTTTCAATAATTATTTTCCTTATATTTTTTTTCTTGGACTAATATCGTTTCAATGAAATGTTTAAAACTTCCTTGTCCAACCTTCGCTCTATTTTCCAGTCTTTTTTACCACTTCCGCCACAACGTCTAAAAAATATTTGTTTTTAATACATTTATTATTTATGTAAACATAACCTCTTTTAGTGTATTATCTAATATGTTACTTGTCGTTTTTTTATGTCGAAATAACTCCAGTCTCCAAGTAATCGTGCTATATTCGACAGCCGTTATTTTTATGGGTTGTCATTTATGTATCGATTTACACGAGGTCACCATCGCGTTGCCTATCTATATGATTCTTTTGATCTATTCACTCGAGACCAGCCAATTTCATTCACTGTACTTTCAAGCCCCGACTGCGCATAATCTATTACCTGATTTTATACATCCGAGAACATTAATAAATCTTAGAAAATGATACTTATAGCGTTGCGATGTTTACGATAAAATATTGTTACCACATTTTAAACCCTAAGACAAGAAGAAAACTATTAGAGCCTGATTATACGGATTCTGGCGACGAGCTCAATAGTTTAAATTTAACCTAACATTTTTTAGCTATAATATGTACTATTAACCCTCAGGGGGGTGTTAAGCAATTAACACTACGGGTGTGGCGAACCCGGGGCCCCGAGCTGTGGACTGAACTTACTTTAGTTAGTTGGTTCATTCCACCCTTACTCTGACCTTAATTGGTTGGAGTAATCAGACCCTCCAAGAGGAGGTTGTCGTAAGGCCAATCACCTTACACGCAAAACAATATGATTACGAAACAACGATTAATATTGCCTCGGAACGTGGAGATTACGGATTTATGTATTGGAACTTGGAATGTGCAATCAATGTATAGGACGGGAACATTGACGACAGTCGTATCGTGTCTTGAGCGATACAGACTGGATATAACAGCAGTTCAAGAAATAAGGTGGGACGGATCTGGTAGTATAAAGTCACAATGAAATACAATTTTATATAGCGGTGGAGAAAAACACGAAAGAGGAGTAGGCTTTATTATTAAGGACAAATTTTTGCCGAATGTTGTCAAGTTTGAACCAATAAGTGATAGAATCTGCTATATAGAATTTAAATGCAAATGGTTTAACATAGTAATTGTAAATTGTTATGCGCCAACAGAGGATAAAAGCGAAGAAGTAAAGAATGCTTTTTACGATGAGCTAGACAGAGTTTGTGATGGGCTAACTTCGGGGAAGCCAAAAATTATCATTGGTGACTTCAATACGAAAGTCGGAAGAGAAAGGATATACAGACCAACTATTGGAATAAACAGTTTGCATAGTGAGTCCAATGAAAATGGAAACAAATTGATCTCATTTGCAACAGCAAGAAACATGGTCATAAGCAGTACAATGTTTCCGCACAAGAGCATCCATAAACAGACCTGAATATCACCCTGTGGAAGGATAAAAAACCAAATAGATCACATAGTTGTTGACAGGAGAATAAGATCAAGCGTTGAAGATATAAGAAGTATGAAGGGTTGTAGTGCGACATCGGATCACTTCCTGGTAAAGGCAAGGTACAAACTAAAAATTTCAGTGAATTGGCAGAAGAAACAGAGCATCAAAAAAATTAATAGAGAGCTACTAAATGGAAACCAAGCAAAGGAATATCAGAGAAAATTGAACAAATACATTTCAAGCGCTGAACATGAAGCAAATATAGAAGAATTATGGGGAAGAATAGAAAAAGCGGTTAAAAGAACCTCAGAAGAAGTTTTGGGTTACGAACCACAGAGAAGGAACAAGCACTGGTTCAATGAAATGTGTAGAAAGACCACGGAAGAAAGGGATAAAGCGAGATTAAAAGTGCTATAGGACCCAAAAGAAGAAAATAAAAGAGAATTAGCCATGAAACAGAAAGAGGTAAAGAAGACAATTAGGATGAACAAGAGAGCATGGGAAAAAGAAAGAGTACAACTCATAGAAAGTAGTAGAAAGAATAATGCTCGAGTCTTCTTTGGGAAAGCGAATGAAGTTAAACATGGGTTTAAACGTAAAACATCAATGGTTAGAGGAGAAAATGGAACGTTATTGACCGATAACGGAAAAATAGCAGATGAGTTCAAAAAAATGTTTAACACACTTTTAAACCAACCTAGTGAAAGGACAATTATAGAAGAACATGCAACAGTAGAACAAAACATAGAACCACCATCAAGAGCAAAGGTAGAAGCTGGTATTGAAATGCTCAAAAGCGGTAAGGCAGCGGGAGAAGATGAGATAATTTCTAAATGCCTTAAAAAGGGAGGACAACTACTAATAAACCAGCTACATAACTTAATTACTAAAGTTTGGGAACATGAAGAAATACTAAGACCGTGGCGTACATCTGTTTTATGTCCTATTCTTAAAAAGGGAGACCCCATGAATTGCAAAAATTATAGGGGAATCTCCCTTTTGAACACATCATATAAGATACTGTCTAATATTCTACTTACTAGAATCAAACCCTATTTACGAGAAATTATTGGAGATTACCAGGGAGGGTTTATGACAGGGAAGTCAACCCAGGATCAAATACATGTTATTAAGCAAATGATCGAAAAAAGCCATGAATTTGACAAAGATATACACCTCCTTTTTATTGATTTTAAGGCCGCATATGATATGGTGAATAGAGAGAAACTATGGAGCGCTATGTACCAATTGGGTATACCTGAAAAGTTTGTAAGACTAGTCCGTGCTTGTGTACAAGGATCAAAGTGTAAAGTGAAGTTCGGAGATGCCGTATCGGAAGATTTTGAGGTGGTGACAGGGCTTAGACAAGGTGACGCCTTGTCCCCAGCTCTTTTTAACTTAGCATTGGAATCAGTCGTAAGAGATACCCTTGTAACTGCAAGTGGAATTAAAATTGGAATTGACAAACAACTAATTCTAGCTGCCTATGCAGATGATTTAGTGATAATGGCAGAAAATGAAGAAAATCTAAAGGAGACAACACGAAATTTACATGAAAACGGAAAGAAAATAGGATTAATTATAAATGAGGATAAGACAAAATATATGGTAGTAACTAGGAATAAACATAGAGGGGGACACCTGGATATTGGGGAATATAAGTTCGAAAAAGTAGATGATTTTAAATACCTAGGAGTGGACATCAACAAGGATGCAAATAGCCACGAGGAAATAAAGATTAGATTAGCAGCGGCAAACAGATGTTATTTTGGATTGGTCCCCTATTTAAATCAAAGATATTATCATGGAAGACAAAAATAACCCTTTATAAAGTACTAGTAAGATCTATAGCTTTGTATGCATGTGGGACGTGGGCCACTACAAAATCGCATGAACTAAAATTGGCCACCTTCGAGCGGAAGATATTAAGGAGAATCTATGGTCCAAAAAAAAATAACGAAGGAGAATACAAAGTAAGAACAAATCAGGAGATCCCAGACCTGTACGGAGAACCGAATATTAACGGAATTTTAAAAAGTAGTAAGCTGAGCTGGGCCGGGCACGTGTGGAGATCGGAGGGGCCAATTGGACAGGCTACGAAATGGAAGCCAAATACAAAAAGGCCTAGAGGACGTCCTCGACAAAGATGGAAGGATAGAGTGGTCAAGGACTTGAGGAAACTTGGAATAGAGGATGGGGAAGAGCTGGCAAGAGACCGAGACAGGTGGAGGCAAGTGGTTGTTGCGGCAATGGGCCTGAATGGCCTGTAAACGCCTAAGAAGAAGAAGAAGAAGAAGAATATGTACTATTATCTTATAATTTAATCACACGAAATAAATAATTTTCTGAATGAAGTTTAACGTAATTTTCAAAATGAACGACTATGTTCTACCTAACATTTTTGTAGTATTTAATAAATATGAATAATAATAATAATAATACAATATATTTATATTAAATTATCTGACTACAGAATACTATTCTCTTCTATGAATGACAAATGATACCCTCAAAATGTCCAATTTTCATAACACGCGTATAATCTATATAGCCAATATGTAATCAGTATTGGACCTACACATTTTGTTCTGATTTTTCCTTGTAAAAATTGATTACATTATCATACTTGGAATGTTATTCATGACGTTTACTTTGATTTTACAGTAGCAGTTCATATTAGGAGGTTTCTACCTACTCATATTATATGTAATGCCAACGGCTGATCAGCGTTAACCAAACAAAATACCAAATAAACGTTACCAAACATATTCTGTATCGGTAAAAATCAACTGTGTCAATACATTTTATTCTTTTCGTGTCGAACTATTCGACCGTGCATTCGTGAAAATGCAGAGCTGTTGCATTGGGCCACGACACGTTGTCTATTATCCGTTCTTTGAGTTGAATAGATCCTAAGAAAAGCAAACATAACTCATATCTCGAGTCCTGAACAATGCAATAAATTATCGTTATAATTATTGTTTTAAACTGCAAACGATGAAAAAACGAAACGGCAAAGCGTAAGGGTAACATTGTAGTATAGCAATGTATTTTTTGCGCATATCTACATTGATTTTAGAAGAGAGAAAATTATGATTGATGAAAACAATTGAAATGTATGCATATAGTTCTATATGGTGTATGAATGTAGTTGCTTAAACAATTTCGAAATAAAATAAATTTCCGCTTACTTATAAGAATAAAGCGAGAAGTCTTTAATGTCTTAATTAAAAATAATTAAAACTATTAAACTGTATATTATCTTAAATCCATTTATATTACAATAGTAATTAATAATATTAATTTTAATAAATTCAGAGCTATAACATTTAGCGATGGTGATGCTAGTACAGTGAACGATGTGCTTTAATGAAATTGTTCAGTAAATTATCATACTATTGTTGTTATTATTATAAAAATGAATAATTACATTAGTGATGGGACGTTCCATTGTTATTTCACTATAACAAAGGTATACATTTACAAAGTTAATCAGAACGTAGATCTGTTGATCTATGCCAACGACAAAAAGCCTCATCGTTCATTCTTATATTGTTTCACCGCAGTGATTATTATGTAGATATTTTCGGTAACGATATACCTCGAAAACAGTCAGTTATGATAGTTATATAGTTATATATTGGTCATCTAAAACGATCAGAGCGAGAATGAGCACATATTGTCAACCACGCGTTCTCATCAATCCCGAGATCTCGGCAGTAAAAACATTTGATCAAAAACAAATGTTTACAGTAGATTATTAGTTTTTTTGTCGTGTCTATTTTAGTATAACTATATGTGATTGAGGCTTCATTCGCGGACAGCAGTAAGCTTTGTCTGAAATATCCCTACCCTCTTTCTCTCTCACTATCGTTTTATCCTCACTGACTCTATAAGATTTATAGGTTATCTCATAGTGCTCAGCTCGTGTTCGTGTAAACACAATTTACTTCATTTGACCATTGATCGCGATAAATATAATTTGCTTACACATTAAATATCATTATATTGATAATTTCATCGCTGAAATTCACAGTAATGTATACGTTGTGTGTTTTTGTTTTTATATAATAACGTCATAAATATTTAATGAGCAGGGTTGCATTACTGAGTATACATCGAAAAAGGATGTTGTACCACTTTGTTCGTATAATGTTTAAACACCATGTAAAAAATAAAATAAAATAAATTATAATGGAATAATTATTGAAAATAGTGTTACAATATTTAATTTGTTATTTAAACATTACTCGACCGACAATTTTGTGGTTGCTTGTTTAAAATAATTTTATATAATTTATACATAATAAATGCGATTTACATACTTTTTATGTTCATAACATCTTAATCATCTTATTTTATATTATATTTAATGTGATATATCATTAAAATACACATAGATGTTCCCGATAAAATCATTATGATAATATGAGGTGTTATTAAGTTTACATCATTTTTCGTAACCTTGTCCTTTACCTTAGTTTATACATTAATTTATAAATATAATTTCATGTCAAACCACACAGCGTCATTTTTCGTATTATTTTAAACTTTCCAATAACTTACCGTAAGGATTTTATGTAGATATGTTTCTATTTTATTATTTATTTCCAATTATCAAGTGTGGATTTGTAAAATAAAATATTTTCGTTTTTTTAAAACTAAGACTTATCTTCTATATTAGATTTATATTCCAAATTGACCTTTACAAACAACAAACATCAAATTTTGAGTTAGAATTCCATTACTTTTAATGTACATGGCATATTTAAATGGAAGTAAATAAAATAAATGCGAATAAAACTCAACTTTATTCTATTAATGAAATTATACATATATGTATACTAAAATAAAATATAATCTAGGTGGCCGAATCATCAAAATTACAAAAATCTTACAGGTGAGTGATGAGCCCGATTTTTAGACATGATTAACGCGTCCCTAGTTTATAAGCTCGTAAACTATACAATAATTTATACTTTCGC